AGCCGGGGACTGAGACTCGCGTGATTCTGTCGGCCAGAGAGGTCCATCAGTTGAATACGGAGATCTATCCTTGCGACCCGACAGAGGCATACAGTAGAGATAAGGTAAGGCAAATCCCATCGCCAGCTAAGCCTATTGCGATTAATCCAATTTATATTGAACTAGAATCGGCTCGGTTCTTAAGACCCTGTTACACTTAGCTAGTACTCGCTAGCACTCGCTACGAGTTTTGAAGATTAAGATAAAGATTAAGAATTATTTGAAGATTTTGAGGATGGCGAGTATTCGCTAGCAGAACCAATCAAGAGGCAACCTTAAGGCAAGATGGAACCCCACTCCTCCCACGAAAGGAGCTGAAAAGTTCAGCGCGAAGCGTCTTGTATGAATTCGGGATGAGTCCATATCAGTCGCCGTTCGACGCCGGGATTGCTGCTGCCCTCATATGGTGTTATCTAGAAGAGGAGGTGTAATATACGGACTTGGACGATGCCCTGGCAATAATCACGTAGCTGATTTTCTTAGAATGAACGAAGCACCCTTCCAGAGACTCTTAGAGAAGATAGCTCTCCCAAAGTCCTGTCGTGGTATTCCATCAATTGGACAATCGAAAGTAACGACCTTTCCCTATGACCATATATCAAGGCCTCCAAGCGTCATTTGCCAGTTGGCATGCCATCACAATGTCGACTAGACATTTCTTCTTCTACTTCCTGCGACTACTTCTACAACTTCTACTTTCTGCGAGCAGTCATCATTCCTGCATATTTCATATTTATCGACATCTCCACAAAGGTGCTCAAAAAGCAAATTCATGAAATGGCAGTTTGAAGCGAGTAAATGGTAAGCCCTCATTAGTGAATGCTCGCTCAACGTAACGCAACATTCGCCCACTCGCTAGCAAGTGTAACTTTAAGAAAGTACAGGCCAAGGCGGTCACAGACCGTGCAACAAAAATGAGTTCTGGAGTTCCATGCCATTGCGTTATTCCGCGATGGAATTTCAGCTGAATGCTGATATTTCATCAGTACATTTTCTCCTTACTTCGGTCGACGCGTACTTCTTTTCTCCTCTGTTTATTCAACTAGAGAGCGTCATGGAAACTATAAACTATAGTGTCAGGGTTACTTCGTTTTTCTTGTGAAAAGCATTTTCTTCGCCACTCGTGGTTATTGAATTCTTATTCTTTGTCCAGTGCTTAGACTCATGCCTCTCTGGAAGGATTCTTGATGCCGCCCAGTTTCCTTGTCGGCTACAGTCAATGAACCTGTCACAACCAGTCTGCACTGAACTAAACGATATCGCCAATCTCACCATAGACGCCTACTCCCGCGTAAAAAGCGGGAAATTACTCGACTGCCCTTGCCTCCCCCCCCTGTCACGCGACGCGATATCAGACGAACATCCTGCCGGTCGAAGTCTACCCCGAGAGTCCCGACGAATCGGAGGTGTGGATCTACTTCCTCGAAGGAACGGCCGAGGTCCTCGTGGAAAGTCTGGCCTACGACTTCACGCAGATGGCTGGAGAGTTCGGTGGTTGCATCGGCATGTTTCTTGGGACATCCTTGATTTCCGCCTATGAATTCCTTTACCTATTCTTCAGATCTACATTGGGACGAGTTAACTCTCAATGAGGATCGCCTTCACTCTTGCACACATCAATATTCCAAACCAGGTGCTGCCCCCCCACCCTGAAAAGTAACCTGCACTTTGACTTTAGGGTAGCTGGCTATTTTTTGCCCTTTTGGCGGCTATTTTTCGATGTCGAAATTTCTTTCTTACAAATGTAAGCAAAGGGCTGCCGAGCGTATCTGTGAATTGTTATGCAGCAGAGATTAACACTGAAATGAAGACTAGTTCAGGTTGAAAAAAATTGTTTGGAACTATTTTTTTCAAAAGGTTCATAAGGTTCCTTTGTTCTTCTCCAGAGTTTCTACTACCCTTTGTCTAAATTCACCTGGGATTATGTATCCTGGGCTTGGCCCGAGCTGAGCGATTAAGTGAACTTTTTGCTCAGAAGCACGAATGTGGCCAATTCATCTGCTAATAAATCGATTTCCGGTAGTACATTTCATCACGATTGCAGCTACGTTCGATAAAGTAAAAAGCAATCGAAAATCGTGGAGGATGAGAGTCGATCCAAGATTATGCACTGTCCAAGCTTCCCAGAACTTATTTGGCCATATTCTTATTCTGCAGCGCTGCATCTATTCATCCACGGATCCATATCGCTTTTTAAAATTGCTATAGTGTGGTCTGAAAGTTCTTGTTTCTCTGCATTGGGAAAGGATATGTTAGGAACAGTGATGCTGCAGACTAAGCCTCTGTGGCTATAAAAACGGAATTACCACAATTCTTGCGTTCTAAGCATTTATGCCCATGCTTCATTGTTGAAAAATCTAATACCTTTAAACAGCATGGAATTAACAAAAAAGCTCCGGCAGCAGCAGCGGCAAACTCATGAAATGCGATTGCGAAAGAATTACAACTTTAACTACGCCTATAACTTCTCGTTGGGTCTATGTTGGTACGACGAATACCGTCTCCCATACCTTCTAGGCTGTTTCGCGGTAATAATTGGATCTTGTGAAGGACAAATTTATGGGTAGAAAGTATTCGCTATCGGAGTTGGAAACTTCTGATAGAATGCAGTGATATTTTCAGTCCCTGTATCATTGTTCAGAGGCTTCGGTCAAGAAGTGGCTGAAATGCCGTTGCCACGTTGGAGAAACTCCCAATTTTCTTTTGCCAGGGATTCCAGGAGCGAAAGCCACACCCGAATTTTCGTCTGAGAGCGTGACGGTAGTAAGTTCAGTAATGATGGCACTTCCGCTGCGGCGCCATGTTATGAAGTACATAACGTGTGCGTGTTCGCGATGTCTCGACCCTCTTTCCTTTTATCTCTCTATAAACTTCGCACAATTCTTGTCTCTACTTACTGCCAGTCACTTATGCCACTAACACCACTTTTGAACTCGCTCTGGTGTTAACCCCTCGGGATTAGTGTAACACCCCTTAATGAAGTATAGGGAATCCCCTCCACACCAACACCGAACTGGGATCGAGATGGCATTTCGCGTTTAACCTGGTGTTACACCGGCGTGAAACACCGAGAAATCACGGTGTTACACCACCACCACAGAGCGAGCTCAAATCTGGTGTTAAGGGGTGGAGTTCTTGTTGCACGGAACACCAACACCGAATTTGAACTCATCCACTGTGTGACCAGCAATCGCTGAATGCTGAAAGAGAAATTGACCTAACTGCAAAATGATTGTTCTCATGGCACTCATCTAACTATCTCATCTCACTGATAACTTCAATGAATGGAATATGCACATTAGACCAGCGTTTCTCAACCGGGGATACTCGGGTCCGCAGCAAGGCTCCACGGGATCTGTGAAACCATGTCCGGATAATAATAAACATTTTAAGGACGAAACGAACATTTCATATTTAAAAAAAATTGTATGTGCTTTTCGAGATTGTTGTGACCTTGGCAGGAAATGAGGCCTTCGATAGTGCTCTCTCTCTGGCATTCATCTTTCCTCCCAATACGTTCATGGTTCCCTGATATTAAATCGCGGGATGTATCTTGGGCGTGTAAAAATAATCTCAAGTGAATCATCTCGGCACCCCTGAAGGAAATGTCGTGGGCGTCGCGTCGGGAAGAGCTCGTTGCTAAAATAACGAGAGGACGCAAATAAAGGCAAAGATCAAATAAATCTTATTGTGTGAAGGCTTTGTTTTGTCGGCAAGCTTTTGAGATTAGAAGAATCTCTTAAGTATCTCTTAAGTAAGTAAATCTCTTTCCTCATGTGGACCAGCAACATAGAAACTGTTTTAGACTGTCAGTTTGGCTCTTCCCCATCCAATAGTGATTGTCATGCCCAGGGAAGCCTCTCTTTAACCGCGAAAGGCGTTCATCGAACTAGACTGAAAAGCGAAACATGAGTTTGCGAAACGGAATTCAACAGAATGCGTGACTTAGAAGACCAGAAGGCAGAAGCTTTGAATTCCGTCGATGAAGCATGTTGGGAGCAGTTCGTGGCACGTGCTCTATCTCGTATCTTGGGAGAGTAAAGTAAAACAAGCAGAACATTCCGCCTCTTGACGTCCTCCAAGGAACAACAACGGTTGGACTCCGTTAAGGAAGATGGTGAATCATTGATAAATGGTGTTAGTTGGGAACTAAACGTCCAAATGCAAAGCTTTTCTCTGCATTTCGTGTACTTTGCAATGCATTGATGTGGCAAACTTCCTTGTCGTCTCATCAACTAATCCGTTAATTACACTCAAAGGAAACCGCAAATGATGTCTCGCCAGGGTTTTGTAGTTTGTTCTTTTTTATCTCGTGCTGGATGACAAGCAATACAAATTTTCCTCCAAGGATTCATGGCATTTTAGGTCGGAACGAGGACCTTTTTGTCAATTTTCAAATCACCTTCTCTTCATAATTTTTTACACGATCATTGGTAGTTTACAACCTTATGCAACAGTGAAGGGGGCCCGCGTAGTTCCCCTCTGTTCCAACAGGGGTCAGCATGGTAAAAAAAAGGTTGAGAAACGCTACATAAAACCAAATTGTCGCATATTTTTTGAAAAATTTGTTCAATGAATTTAACTGATCTCTTTCCCATCTTGGTGTGTCTGAATGCATACTTTACATTTTTGGCGCCAGTTGTGATTCAGCACAATAAAGTTTTAATTATGAAAATGGTCTTTTTGCAATCAATTTTTGCTAAATTACTACTCCTTTGTTGTAGAACTACTACGTCTGAAACCGTATAATCTCACTAACTGGGCAGAAGACGTTATGTGAGATGAAAGGCCCTTGAAGTACCAGGATATGACACTTGAACATTACAACATGACCATTATCTAACGTGGGGGAAGCATGTTTCCTCAAGGTCATGTGAGACTAACTTTGCGGAATAAATGGAAACACGTCACCAAGCACTACAAGATAGTCTACCTGAGATGCCACGTCACTCGAGAAATAGTCGAGTGCCTTGTTTACTCACTCGAATCATGAAGAGGAATCTCAGATAGAACAATACAAATATGAATGAAAACATGCTCAAGAAAACCGGGCTTTTCGAGGCCAATCGCCAGCAGAATGGTGTCGAAGGTGATTCCTGTTACCCTTGGCCTCTGGCTTTTGAGCGGGGGGATTTCCTTGCCCTCTGTGAGTGGCTGGGAACGAGAGGCAATATTGGATCCATTGGGCAAGGTGCACCTGGCATGGACCCCCCATCTCGAAACCAAGGTCATCGAGTTTGAATACACCGTCCAGACCCTGGGATGGGTGGGATTGGGATTCTCTCCTACGGGAGGGATGCGAGATTCCGACGTCATCACAGCTTGGATCAAGAACGGACAAGTCTTCTTCGATGTGAGTTCTCTCAACATCTTAGAATAGTACCGAATGCACAACCGTTGCTGATTGGAAAGAGTATTTCTGACTTCGCAGGATAGACACGTGCCTGTAGACCATGAACTTCCAAGAGTAGACGATGTGTCCAACTATAACCTGATATCTGCTGTGGAAACAGACACAGCGACCATCATTCGCTTCACGAGGGAATTCGATACCTGCGACCTCGAACAGGACTACTTCATCACGGTCAGTAAAGTTAACCCATACATACATTAGTGCTATTGATTGTAATCACGTAAGAGAGCTATTGCATAGTGCGAATCTCTACAATAACATGACTATTTTGTATTAACATGGTCGTTCGTATCTCGTATGCAGAGAGACACAGTGAAAGTGATATATGCCTTTGGGGAAACGGATCCCGAAGGAGAGGATCCTTTTTATCACGGAAGTGACAACAGGGGAACGAAATCCTTGTATCTACTCGACCCGCCACTAGGTTAGTACTGAAGCCTTGGTTAGTCAAAAGTATAGCGATTCGAATGTCATTAACGAAAGTGGTGCTGAAGGAGTGCGCAATTGTGACAGGTGAGATTCCTGACGATCCGTCAATCAAGGAATGGATCGTGAGCAGCGAAATGGTGATTCCGGAAGTAGATACCACTTATTGGTGCACTATCCAAAAGACACCCGAAGTGGACGTCACACATCACATTATCGGCGTGAGTTAAACAGGATCTCTCGAATGTTGTCGATGCAATGCTCATCAGACCCGGTATTCTCAATCGTCTTGAACTAGTACAAGCCATACGTGAAACCGGGGAACGAGAAGTACGTCCATCACCTGCTCCTGTTTTCCTGTAGTGTTCCGGATGAACTGGTGGACATGTTCAACTCGTGGTCAGAACACAGCGGGGTCTTGTGCTTTGGGCCGGATCACCCTCCGGAATGGTATCTCTGTCGAAGTACTCTTCTCGCCTGGGCTGTCGGCGGTGAGGTATGACAGGGTCCAACGTTAACCCCCCCCCTCCCTTTTTTTCCCCTTAGCCAATAATATTTATGAAATCCAAAAACCGTAATTATTGTAGTACGAATCAGGTCGCAGGAAGGCCTTCAGCTGAAAATTCCCACCCTCATGCATGCAACATCGACAAGCATCTTGCCTTCTCCAACCCAAGTAGCATGGGATCATCCCATGGACGTCCCTAACAGATCTTGACATCCCTATGGGCACACGAGGGATTTGATACTAAAGACATCAGTATTCCTCACCTTCCAGAATGTCCTCTGGATGTTCCAAGGAAATCCTCATCCGCAGGCCACTTCATGGGGACATCCATGGGATAATATTGGTCCCACGTAGGAACCATATGGGATCTCTCGGGGATGTCCCAAAGGGAACATCCCCGAGAATGCTCATTGGGAATGTCTTTCTGTCTACCACGTTTCTTTATTAACGACCTGTTGAAAGGGAGATCTAGGATTACTCAGGTGTATTCTTCCTGATGTTTGTTTGCCGACACACTTATTAGACTGAGCAAGAAAAACCTATTTCTAAGGGTGGAAAACCGATGAACACGTCTCTTTACAGATTTGAGCTTTTTACTGACTGAGTAGTGATCTCTATATATTGATTGTGATGAAAAGTACTTTCGTATTTTCTCTACAAACGTCCAAGGCAACGTATCCAAATTATATAGATAACAAGAATCGTGTGTTCTTATCTCTCCTAAAGTAAGGAAAGAAGAGTTCTTGGTCCCAAACTCACCATGGATGGATGAGATGTCGATTGGCTTGAAATATGAACTCGAAATTCAGACACTGACTGGCCTTGGGGACCATGAAGTCAGAGCGTAATTAATGATAGAAGAATCAGGAAAGGATACGAGGCCTCTGGAGAGGATTTTCATGAAGTGGTTCACTTCGATGGGCATGGTTTTTGTTGTTGAGGCGTACCTCTCTTTGCGGTATTCAGGACTGCAATATGTTTTACTCTATAGAGTAAGACTATAAGACATCTTGGTCATAAATCCAAACGAATCGTTTCAGCTCTCAAGGACAAGTGAAAGACGATATCAAAACATTGGTGAATATCTTAAAATTCAAGAGAATGTTCTTCAGGCTTTGAAGTGAGATTTTTTGTAGAGCTTCCCTCCAATATATGACCCCTTGGAGAACCGCATGTATGAGTGTGAGTTAGTCTACTGATAGGGACAACCAACTCCTTCCAAATTTCCAAATTTGAATGCATGTATCTGATAGAAAGCATCGCTTTATTCCTGAGGAATAGGGGGAAACCTATCCAGAGAACGTCGGGTACGTTATGCCCGAGGGAGGAATGTTCTTCATGATGGAAATGCATTACGATAACCCAGAAATGGAATCCGGGATCCAAGATAACTCCGGCCTCACCGTCTACTACACGGATGTTCTTCGTCCCATGCAAATGGCCACCTTGGAAGTCGGCGCCTCCGTCGGTCCTACACAGGTCTGTTGACTGCATGCCTACGCATAAGATTGAATATCATGCAATTTTATTTTGTAATTTTTAAGGATTCTCTTCCAATAGTGATCTAAGGGAAAATGGGGTATGGCATGTTACATTTGCGTGGGAAATATTTGGACGGATTTTCCGTTTCAGAAAATGTGCCTCATGAATGAATAAATGAGTAAAATATTTATAAAATATTTCAAAGCTGTATTCAGTCTCTGTATCCACGGGCACGAGGTGAGTGAAGCTGGTGGAATCCGTCACGGACAGGTATATTTTTTAAGAGACGGCTCGAGAAGCATATCGGAATGTACATTTTGCTGACTCTGAATATGAATTTTTGATGAATTCAACATTGTTGGCGAGATGTCTTTGCAGGGACCGAATCGGAAAATTTAAACTCGTTTCATCTCCCTCCTTTACACCTAAACATGAGTTGAGAGAGATATCCTTACAATTTTCTCTTGAGTCCCGAGTGGCAACAGAGAGGATGCAGCCATTACTATTTGTTATCCGTTAACCCTTTCAGTACTGAGTTAAATCGTAGCACTCTCCTTCCGTTCAAAGTTCCTTTCAAAGCTTCGATCGATTTGCTACGAAATAACAGATAATCCCAGCGAGACAGAGCCTTTTCGTCCATTCTGGGCACTGCAGCCCCAGATGCACGGAGGTCGTCTTCCCACCGGAAGGGATCCACGTCTTCTCCGGCCTCCTCCATTCTCACTTGATCGGTGAGCATCTGCAAACATTTTTAAACGATTCCGATGCAGCTTTGAAACGTTTTGGGGGAGGATCTCCTAAAATAAACAATCCCGCAGGAAGGAAAATGCGAGTCCGAGTGTTCCGAAACGGCGAAGAATTGCCCTGGCTGCAATATGACGACAATTACGACTTCAATTATCAGCAGGTCCGAGCCTTTCGGGAACACATTACCCTTCTTCCAGGGGATCAACTCATCATGGGCAAGTCTTCTCTCTCGCCGCAATCGCTCTATCAGCAATAGGGTCACTAGTAAAGACTTAAAGGATTACTTGGCCGATTGGTTGGGTTCTTTTATGTTCTTTTGCTGACGGAATTTCGGCCGACACTGTACCACTAAGTATGCAAGTCCGTTATGGCGTTTGCCGAGCAGTTACAAAAAAACTAAGCATGGTCATTTGGGACGGAATAATCATAAGAAGTTACGACAAATCAAAGTTTTATTAAACATTTGATGTTTAGAGTAAGCAAAGAACCCGAGAACCCATGATCCATGAAAAGGTTCCTCATAACCACTACCAATTTCACACATTTCTTCAATTCTAGCACGCCCTGCGAGGCCTCCGGACTTTACACTCATATATATTTTTTCGTGTAGTCATTCAAAGTTCAAAGCTGCCAGATCTGGTATACGAGGGGGTATTGGAAGAGCATTTTCTTCCTGCTCTTACAACTGTTTCTCCAGGGGGACTGGAGAAGTCATCCTAGAAGCCATTCGACGTAGGCAAAATATTTGTGAAGTTGTCTTTCACAGCGACTATTATTACAATAACAGCCATTGCTCTTGGTTATTGCTTGTCATATTTTCATCGTCATGCATTTAATTTTCCCATACAGAATGCGAATACGATTCTTCGGAACGAGATTCAGTGACACTGCAAGGCTTCGGAACCACAGAAGAGATGTGTCTCGCTTTCTTTCAGTACTATCCAGCTCAGGACGTTAGTACCTGCAGCAGTTATCCCGATTTCGAGGAGTTCTTCACTCTGTTCGACATCACCGACATCTGGCTGGACCAGTATGGCTCCGTCCCTTTCTCTCTCGCGTGAAACTATAGGTTCGGATCTTCACGATTAATTTTTTCGGACGATTGCACGTGAACAGAGAGAACGGATACGAGTACATGGTGTCGGAAAACCAGACCCTGGTGGACTATCTGAACGAGTTCGACTGGTCGGGCATCGACTTGGAAGACCTTCAATATCTCCTTCGTTACAATCCTCACTATGTGCAATGCTTGAACAACATGGCGGAATTCATCCTCGTAAGTGCTCTGTTCGCTTCAAAACCCACAGGAAAGTGGACCACGTCAAAATAAGATTTTTCCTTTAACGGTTCAAAATGGACCATGCTTTTTACAAGTGCTCTAGGCTCTTGAAAGCCCCTCAGAGAAAGCTTTACATAGTTTTTCCCTTATGTCCTGAATGCCTGATTATTTTAACCGGGGTTTACTATAATTAAGAGTGTTTTACTTCTAGGTATTAAGAAATCGTAATACACCCTCGCGATATAACTGATGGGAGGACCCTTGTTGAAAATGGAATTCAAATCAACAAGGACGCGCTCTTGGTTAACCATCCACTCCTGGCAAAGCAAAAATATATATGATGGGATTTCCCATGCTAATGTTGCAACTGGCGAGGGGTATTGCTGACCTGTCGCCCGCACGTAAAAAAAGCCTTTCTTGGAGTCAGAATGAAAGGAGACGATGACATTTTGCCTTTAACATGGGTGGGAACACGTGACAGAAGGCTTATTGGATTCCTTGATGAAGCAATGCAGCAAAAAGTGAACGTCTTCGTTTCAAGAAAAAGAGCAAGAATTTATCGCATTTATTTCCTGATTATGCAGTACCACGATTACTTGTCACCAAGAAAATGCAAAAAGTCCAACACAGTTTCACATCCATGTACCATGTACATTATCGACCCCCGATGGAATAAGAGTTACTCTTCCTTCCAGCCGTGGAATCTGACTTCGAGCTATCCCGAAGGCGTGGACCCCTGGATGCCTCCCGGGCGAGACTGCCCATCTGGCAAATGAAACTTTCTAATGGCGTTTTCTCGCGATTGACGGAGATTTCCCGATCCGAAATATTTCTCTGATATTCACTTCCTTCATTTCTGTTCGTAGCAAGTAGTCAAGAAAGTATTTCATCCGTCAGAGCGACTAGTGCTCGATCCCTGTACGGCCTCATGCATGTCTCCAAGCAGCTTCTCCAGTTCTAGCTGGAAGAAGGAACTCCTGACTAAAAAAATGAAAAGTTCCATTTTTCTGCTGAAGATTGGATCACCACCGAATTTAATCATATCATTTGAAAGGTCTCTTGACGTTGAACGCGAAAGTCAACAGAAAATTGGCAATATTATATATAAAGTTATAAGGGTAAAAGCATCACTAAAAAACTGATCCCCCCCCCATTTTGTTTCGAGGTTTTAGCCAAAAAGATAACCTTTATTATTGTCCGCTCCCTTTCATGTGGGAACCTAAGCCCCATTAGGTTTAGGTCTAATTTGAGCTTTTTAAATTTTAGGTTTTAAAACCTCAAAATTGCCAACTGAATCGCTTGGAATTCTCTTAATATCCATAGTGCCTTTCTATATTGATAATAGCATTGTGGTTCAACCGAGAAGAATGTGGAGTAGTCATGGCCATTAATGTCTTGTGATCTTGCATCACAACACATGATAAAATTTGCAAAAAGGGAGTTTATTTTCATTATTTTCCGTCGTATGCCACTTTGAATGTCCATTATCTTTATGCTCTAAGACGACAATTGGAAGTTTTTTCTCTAGGCCTCGTTTACCCCCAGCTGGCTTCGGTGCCACTTTTTTTTTGCCTCTATATAATTCAATTACCAACCTAATCGCTTCACCTCACTTTACAATCAATCTTCCGAACTTATTCGAAACTCTGCTTCTCGTAATGCCAGATTGCCTAACAAGACAGACGGGGTCGCACTGACACTTGCAGTCGCATTTCTTCGTCCCAAATTGCTGACCTTTTCAGTGGGAGGAAAACATGAAATCGAGTGATAAGGAATTGTTACAGGACTGATCTTTCTCATCTGATCCCTCATCTTCTCATTTCGCTCATACTGGCCCCAGAAGGACTCACTTTACCATGCAGTTAAGCCTTGTTCTCTGAATGATACAATTACAATTACTGCATATTAGATGATCAAAGCGAGAGTATGGGAACACGGCGATCGGGACGTGCAATAGCGGAGGTACAGAGGGGCGTGAGATGGCAGTGGCAAGAGTGGAGGAGGAACATTGGAATATGCATGTTCTGGGGAATAAGGAAAGAAAATAATGCAAAATGGATATAGACTTTCGTGCCGAATTCTTAGGAGGGCTCGGACGGAAAAAGTGGATGGATCTGTTTGTAGTATAGCTTCTATGGCGATTTTCGACAAAATTTTCACCCCCCCCCCCAACCCTTTTCCACCACCTTCTGAACGATGGCACATGTCACATAACTTGAGCGACATCATCCTTAAAAAAAAAATATTGGCTATTTGATCGGCTGCAGTAAGATTTAAATCCATCACTTCCCTCACAGATCAGGCGGGGGGGGGGGGGGTATAATTTAATTGGAAATCACTTTGGCGCTGTTGCAACGGTGTGTGATTAAACTTTTGTCTCCTCTTCTCCTTTAGCCTTCCGTAGGGCGCTGAATACGCCTAAAACGTAAGGAATTGCAATTCAGGAATGGTTAAGGCCAAACTAGAGTCAAGTCCGATGAACGGACGTAACGATTCCCCAGTGCGAACCTCTTGGATATGATCATTCAAGTTAAGCGCCACACGATCACAATCTTTCTTGCCAGCACTTAATGTTGTAATTGGAAGTATATGGAAATACAATCCTTCTAAATTTCTTCTAACCTTCTAACCTAAAATAAATGTTTCATACTGTCAACATCCGACTTCTATAAATGAAAGAATTCGGACTCTTGAACTCTGAAGACCATAGGAGCAGGCCAGCTCAAGACCACGTGACCCTGACATTGGAAAAATCGATTGGAACAGGTGAAGGGCCACGAGACCATGGGGTCTGTCTGATTTATTTACCTCTAGCCATGCCTCTGCACTCCAGGTTCCGTCGAGGGCCTGATGTGGTCACAGAAATCCCATAGTGCCTCTTCAGATTCACCGATGAAACGAGACAGATAAGAGAAAAGAACAGACTCTCGAGAACCAGGATGTCCTGGGGACAATCGCTAGCGGAATGGGGTCGAAGGCGGTTCGTTTTACCGTGGGCTTCTGCCTCGTGATCGGAGGGATTTCCTTGCCCCATGTGAGTGGCTGGGAACGAGAGGCAATATTGGATCCATTGGGCAAGGTGCAACTGGCATGGACGCCTCATCTCGAAACCAAGGTCATCGAATTTGAATACACCGTCCAAACCCTGGGATGGGTGGGATTGGGATTCTCTCCCACAGGAGGGATGCTCAATTCCGACGTCATCACGGCTTGGGTCAAGGACGGACAAGTTTTCTTCAGCGTGAGTTCTCTCAACATCTCAGAGTAGTACCGAATGCACAACCGTTGCTGATCGGAGGAGTGTGTCTGACGTTGCAGGATAGACACGTGCCTGTAGACCATGAACTTCCGAGAGTAGACGATGTGCCCAATTACAATCTGATTTCTGCTGTGGGAACGGACACAGCGACCATCATTCGATTCACGAGGGAGTTCGACACCTGCGACCTTGAACAGGACTTCTACATCACGGTCAGAAATGCTATCTCCTACGCGTATAGGTGGAAATCATTGTAATCGTGAATCATCAGAGCAATCATCATGCAAATACCAGTGCATTGTTTGAAACTCTTGGCATTTCCACAACCAGTTCATCATCATCTCAACCACTTTTCATTTTGCATGTAGGGAGACACGATCAAAGTGATATATGCCTACGGAGAAGCAGATCCAGATGGAGAGGATCCATATTATCACGGAATCGACAACAGGGGAACGAAATCCTTGTATCTACTCGACCCTCCACTAGGTGAGCCTGAAAAACCCAACAGAGATGCAGATGGAAAAGTCAGGGAGGAAGTGACTCATCCAAATGCTACATCGCATTCACAATGAGGGATTCAATTTACGAGTTGATATGAAAATACAAACCTTGAATCAAAATTTAGCATTGCTAACAACGTGCTTGGCAACGAAATTCTTTGCCATCTGAATTCGGAGGATTCTCCTGACATCACGTAGCTTCGAATTGAAAATCCGAGTTCTTAGAAGCCTTTGACAAGGAACGTCTCAGGACAGCAAACCTTCCCATCTCACCCTAGGAAAAGGGGATAGGATCCTAGCAATCCCCTTATCGCAGGAGTTGAATCTGATCTTTATTTCCTTGTGTCGCTTCTTTCCATTTTGTTGCCGCGTCTTCTCTGGGACGTCCTCGGAGAGAGTCCACAACGAATGAGATAGCGGGCATCCCTATCTAAAGTTCTAAATTCTTTTTATTTCTTCCCTGAGGGAATTCTTACATAATAAAAAAAAAACATATTTACAAATGGCTGGACAGGATATTCATGCCGCCTGTGTATAATCCATGACAGCATATTTTTATTTCCAAAAATAAATTACCCATTTTCTTGTCGGTGTCACTTCTCGTCGGTGATTAGATTAATATTAATTGGCCTGACACACTTGCATGCTATCGTGATAGGTGAGATCCCGGACGATCCTTTGATCAAGGAATGGACTGTAAGCAACGAAATGGTGATTCCGGAAGCAGATACCACTTATTGGTGCTCCATCCAGAAAACACCCATAGTAGAGATCACGCACCACATCATCGGCGTGAGTTTAATGAGACCACTAGGATATTAATAAATAAGTGAATAATAAATCACATCATTTTTTCACGATGTTCACCCGTAATTTTCTTTTCTTGTTTGCTCAGAGCAAGCCGTACGTGAAGCCAGGGAATGAGAAGTACGTGCATCACCTGATCCTATACGCCTGCAGCGTGCCAGATGAACTGGTGGGAATGTTCGACTCGTGGGCGGAGCAGGACGGGGTCCTGTGCTACGGTTCCGATCACCCTCAGGAATGGCATCTCTGTCGAAGCATACTCATTGGCTGGGCTGTGGGTGGTGAGGTACTATGATTCGGTCTTATATATATATTTTCCAATATCTGCCAGTGTTCAAGTAATGCAATTAGTTTCAACCCATCGTGTTCATGAGAAAAGATTCTTAGCGCAGGAAAGTCTTTTCCAGGGAAAAATCGCAGTGTGTGCATCCTGAAGAATATAATGTCATTCTCGCGTTGTCGAGTTTCAAATCGTACTCGCTCTCTTGCTTTCTTCTCATTAATTTAGTCAGTTACGAATGCCACCGTCGGCTGCAGGCAAGCGTCACTGCAATAATAAGGGCAATAATAAATGCTCAAGGCTGTAGACACTGGGCTTTCTTATCCTGCCAAGGCGGAAATAGGCAGGTAAAAAAAAATTATTCCTTCTCTCTGCGAAAAAAGAAGATACAAACTAGTTTGAGTTATGCTGACTAACCCATGTAAATCGACTAACACCTCTTCCTTTTGGATAGGGAGAGACCTATCCGGAGAACGTGGGATACGTTTTGCCCGAGGGTGGAATGTTCTTCATGTTGGAAATGCATTACGATAATCCCGAAGCAGTGTCAGGCATCCAGGATGATTCCGGCCTCACCGTCTACTACACGGACGTCCTTCGACCTCTGGAAATGACCACGCTGCAAGTTGGCGCCGCCATTCACGCTGCAGAGGTCTGTCTGCGGCTGGTTGCGTTATGAGCGAGATTGATTTTTTGTCCTGCATATCATGAAGTCGAGAGAGGAAAGCTTTCGAAGGGTGGACTATTGAGAAAACATAGGGCATATGGTTGGTTAAATAACCAGGTTGGCCAATGTCTCATGCGAACTCTTTGACAGCGTACACACGAACATTTTGCTCCCAAACGGCTATGTCTTTGCAGTGAGATTTACAAATTCGCTTTGGACGATCAAACAGACCATAAGATTTCCCCACGATCACATATTGAATATTAAATCCTTATTTCATGCTTGCAGTTCCATTAGATAATGATCATTGAAGAAGCATTAAATATGTTTTGTCTTTGTTAAACATCATTTTAAATATTTTTTGTCTGGGAATATAATAGATGCAGTTTTATTAACTTCATGGGGAATTAAACCATCATTCCAAGAACATGTGCTACGATCTGAACGTGGTAATGTAGTGTTGTTGCCTTGCAAATCACGGAAGTTTGATCGAACGAACAGATCATCCCATCGGGACAGAAGCAGTTCTTCCATGCCGGCCACTGCAGCTCCCTCTGCACTTCGACCGTCTTCCCGCCCGAAGGGATCCACGTCTTCTCCGGCCTTCTCCATTCTCACTTGATCGGTGGGTTCCATCGAGCATTTGGATCTCATTCTGGATCCGTTTTCGGAACGATTCAGAGGTCATTTCGACGAGCTACTTTCTGAGGATTCTCCTGAAGTCGACTCTTGAATGCAGGAAGGAAAATGCGAGTCCGGGTGTTCCGAAACGGCGAGGAATTGCCCTGGCTGCTAAATGACGACAATTATGACTTCAACTATCAGCAGGTCCGAGTCTTTCGGGAACACATCACCCTTTATCCTGGAGATCAACTCATAATTGGTTTGCTCTCTGTCGCTTGGACTCCTATCTTGTAATGTATCGAATGTATACCTATCACACCAAAGTTTTTGATAAATATACATACAGAATGCGACTACGATTCCTCGGGTCGGGATTCTGTGACGGTGAGTGGTTTTGGAACCACGGAAGAGATGTGTATGGCATTCTTGCAGTATTATCCTGCTCTGAATGTTGCTGCCTGCAACAGTTATCCCAACTTTGAAGCGGTGTTCTCTCTGTTCGGCATCACTGACGTCTGGGTCGATCAGTACGGTCTTTTCCTTATCTTGCTTTAATAGCTCCGTGTCTTCGTGTTCTTTTCATAACGAATGCTAATAGGGACGAGGGTTATGAATACATGGTGTCGGAGAACCAGACCCTGGTGGACTATTTGAACGAGTTCGATTGGTCGGGCATCGACATGGAAGGCTTCCAGGACCTCATGCGTTACGATCCTCATTATGCTCGGTGCATCAGCAACAGGGGGGAGCTCATCCTTGTAAGTGCCTTCTTCCTTTCTCCTCTGAAACCTGGCAATGCCAAACAATTTTTGCGTGTTGATAACGGACGGGATAAATTGCAAGAAGTCGAGGCTCAAGGCATTACTTCTAAGCATTATCATTAGTGTCCATGGGCCCATGATTTAGCATTGCCAGACTCACAATAGCGTTAAAATGCTAGGTGCTTTCTTGAAGGATGAGGTCCGTATTTTGATTTTCCATTTCAGCCCTGGAATCTGACATCGACTTATCCCGAAGGCGTGGAACCCTGGATGCCTCCCGGACGAGAATGTCCGTCTGGCAAATGAAACCTTTCAGAGTGTCCGCTGACTATAAAATGAATAACAAATTCCTGCAAAATCTTTTATTTTCCTTCACTTGCGCATCGACTCGTAACAAGTGGTCGAGAAAGTGTTGCCAACAGGAATAACACTATTCTAATGCATGCGCCTCTTGACTTGAAATGGAAGAGCATGGAAATTATTAATCAGGATCGATTACAAAGAATCCGAAATTGCACTTGCTAAAGAAAACGAATGACGATCTTAGAGATGATACCGTGAGAAAAGAATGGGTCCTTCTTGCATAGTCAAAAGCGGACTCAGACCACCCCCCCCCCGCCAGCATTTCTCTGTAAACTCGTAAGCTTACCAGTCTATTAATGTTGGGATTGCCTTCATTTCCCCGGCTTCCGTTGAAGCCATGCAAACACATGATCCCATTCGAACTGGCCATAAGGATCGTTCGACTCTGCACTGCGAAACAAATGACAACGATCATGATTAACTAGACTTTACCTCAGCAAAGTAGCTATTTAAAAAAACAAACAAACAAACATGGTTTTCAAACCCAGCGAGGAATTCTTTAATTCACAGGCGCGAATCAGAGAAACGTTGACGGTGAACTTTAGATCAGTACCGTCACTCCGTGGCAGCCTTCCACTTTTCAATGTTCCTTTTCTCCTCTTTGTCTCGCTCGCTGGATCTCCGTTGTCCTCGCGTCACTCACTCTGGAATGAATTTTTTCTTTTCCTGACTCTCCTTTTCGACCTTGTTTATTCCCGCTAACCCTTGAGGTTAAGAATTCTGGGAGTTGAACCGACTCCGTGAGTCTATTCCTTTTCGTGTCATTTTCGCCCTGGGATCGAATTCCATCCCTCAATGCTAAGGCATCGGCAATTGCTCATTAGAATAACTTCCTCATATCTAACATATATAAAATTGCACTCCGACTAAAATGTTGTAAAAAGATTTGCGGTCTCGTATTCCCAATCAGTAAAACACGTGTCACGAAAAAAATGGTTCAGCATTTTCGGAGTGTGGAGAAGTCAGTCTTGCCTAAGCCAATTCGAATGGACTCCATGAACATTGGAGGAGAGGTTCCAGGCAGATTACGCTGAGATGCAGCAATGAAATGCAGCATGCCTCACCCAGGTTCCCTCACGTCCATTCCCATCGGCCGCATGCGAGCGTGTCTCCAAGCTGCTCCAGGTAAAGTTCAGGTGAATAGGTCATTTTGCCAAGGAGTGAGGGTTACATGAGGGGGGAGAGTCGGATAACTAAACCGGGCCACGCTTGCATACCGATCGGCAGGCAGGCGAGTCTTCTCGATATCCAGGGACAGCGACGAAGCCTAGCTCACCCGACTGGATATCTAAAAACGAGACCGCCTGCCTTTCAGCTGCATCTTCCCTTGGGCCTCTTGGAACATAGCCCCCTATTCCACGTTCCATGCGTGAAACATTTTACGGTTCGTGAAACTTTGAAAAGATGCCATTCCAAAATAGGCTTGTGTCTACTATTGCGCCTGCGTCTCGAACTTCATTTCTCTTTGTCACAGGCAAGACGGCAGTAAGAACTTGCTTCGATCTAAATAGAATAGAAAGTCAGCACGGATTCAATGCTGGAGAACGTGTCGGAAATGCTCTCAGACCACCCGTTCGTCTGATGCTGCCATGCCATGTCTGATATGTTCATTCGGATCGGTCAAATCGAACGCAAAAAATTGATTTGTTGAAATAATAGGTTAAGCATTTTCCAATACCTGCAGTGAATTTGAATTCAAACGAAGAATCCAAATTTTTGGACCTGCCATAAAAGACGAATTGCTGCTTGTACTGCCATTACTGGAATCGTGGTGCATGTTCTGATTGTTTATGGAAATCATTGTAAAAAAAAAAATCACGAAATGAAAGAATTCGTCTTGATCGCTTAAGATCTTGATCGCTTATCACAGTTCAGCATTTTTTCTTCTTCTAACCCTTCTGTGTCAGAATTTTGTAGGAGAGTTTCTTAGCAAATCGATTCATTTCACAATTCAGTTCTCCGAGGAGGCTCGTTTCGCAACAACAAAAAAAGTTCCTTGGAAAGAACCTATTAACGCTGGCGGAGCTGAAGGTTCTTATTCAAGTGACATCTTCGATCAATGATTTTGACGTGGTTTTGTGAATTATTAGTTATTTTTTATTAATTATTTTGTGAAGTATTATGCTTAAAATGGGAAATTGTAAATTGTAATAGCAATATTCAAGGGTACTCCGCAGAACAAGAAAATTCAGGTATATGTATTGCTAGAGTTAAATGAGTTCTATCTCAGAGAAATCTAAATGGATAACGGTCGAATTTCAAACTGCCACGCTTTGGATCAGTACTAGAGGATGCATGATGTCATCAGTGAACACTCAATTGCTTGTATGGAAATTTTCAGCGAGTTTCGTCCCGTAGCATTCAAGTGACACGCGTTGTTCGAAATTCAAACACACGGGCATTGGATAAAGTATGATTTTGAGCCATGCACGGAATGCGGATCAGCTCTAATGGACCATACCAACCCGAGGATCGGGCGGACCACTCGATTGATCGAAAGTTTCCTGTTGGGTGCAAGCGGATACGCCATCAGTAGGGTCATTCTCTCCAGCCGTTTACAGCTGTTGGCAAAAAGGACACCTCGTTCCGTCAGCGGTCAACGCGATCACGTAATTAAATGATGCCACTTTCTCCCAGCGGAACGTAGTGAACTATGACAGCACTTCACAGGCCAGCACGAATGTGACATCATGGAATAGCTGGAGGCGTCAGCACAGCCAGTAAGAGCCGCTTAGAAAAAGGACGAACCCAGAGAACCAGAGTTCTGATGCTTTTAGAGGCCTAAGCGGGCTGCGGGCCGGCCCGATCAGCCCGACACGACGGTCTGATCCGTAAATCTCGGTGGTGCGATCAGGTTTCATGTTGTGTGGGGCCACGATTCGAATCAGGCCGATCCGGCCGGGTTTGGATAAGTCTACGCGTGCAGGCCTCCGGCGGACAGACGGGAAGACAGGAAAACCTTGACTATTATTATATAGACTTGTCAATAGCCCGTGCAAAGCGCGGAAATTTTCAATGCAATGAACGCGAACATGACATAGGCCATGGTGCCGCCATTCCCCAATAACTTGAGCGACTTCATACTTAAAATAAACAATGTATGTAGGCTATTTGATTGGATGAAACAGGATTCACACCCCCCCCCCCCCCTCAATCGCTTCCCCCACACTTCACGCGGGGAAGTAAAATTTAATCGAAAATCATTGTGGTGCTCTTGTACCGTGTATGATTACAATTTCGTCTCCACTTCTCGCTTCGCCTTCCGTAGGACAATCAAGACGCCTGAAACGTAAGGAAAGGCGCCCAAATTATTATTGAATGATTATATGGAGGGATTGCAACAATATAGTCAGTGCGACGAATGGACAGAACGATTCTCCAGCCCGCGATTCTTGGACATAATTATTCAGGTCAGGCCCCACAATATCGCAATTTTACCTGCTAGCGCGAAAAGACATAGTTACCACCGAATGGAAATGGGATACTTCCAACCTTATCCCATCTCTTCTGCAGAGATCTTAAATGAAAAATAACTTAAACTCCTTCCTTCTGGTTCTCAATCTGAAGCATTTGAATACCTTTGTCTCACGACATGCCCGGTAATCCATCAAATAAGTTTACTGTTTTATTTGTTTACTTGTTTGATCAAGAAAATATGTTTCATACAATCAGCATCCGACCTCTATAAATGACAGAATTCGGACTCTTGACCTCTGGGGACCGTTGGAGCAGGCCAGCTCGAGATTACGTGACCCTGACGTAGGAAGAATCGATTGGAACAGGTGAAGGGCCAAGAGAAGTCTGTCTGAGATTACTTCCAGCCATGCCTCTTCACTCCAGGCTCCGTCGAGGGCCTGGTGCGGTCACGGAAATCCCAAAGTGCCTCTTCAGATACACCGATGAAACGAGACAGATAAGAGAGAACAGGCTCTCGAGAACAAGGATTTCCAAGGGACAATCGCTAGCGGAATGGGGTCGAAGGCGGTTCGTTTTACCCTGGGCCTCTGGCTTTTGACCGGGGGGATTTCCTTGCCCCATGTGAGTGGCTGGGAACGAGAGGCAATATTGGATCCATTGGGCAAGGTGCAACTGGCATGGACGCCTCATCTCGAAACCAAGGTCATCGAATTTGAATACACCGTCCAGACCCTGGGATGGGTGGGATTGGGATTCTCTCCCACAGGAGGGATGCGAGATTCCGACGTCATCACGGCTTGGATCAAGGACGGACAAGTTTTTTTCAACGTGAGTTCTCTCAACATCTCAGAGTAGTACCGAATGCACAACCGTTGTTGATTGGAGGAGTGTGATGTCTATCCTGACTTTGCAGGATAGACACGTACCTGTAGACCATGAACTTCCGAGAGTAGACGATGTGCCCAATTACAATCTGATTTCTGCTGTGGAAACGGACACAGCGACCATCATTCGATTCTCGAGGGAATTCGACACCTGCGACCTCGAACAGGACTTCTACATCACGGTCAGAAATGTTATCTCCTACGCGTATAGGTGGAAATCATTGTAATCATGAATCATTAGAGCCAGACCAGTGCAGTGTTTGAAACTCTTGGCATTTCCACAACCAGTTCATCATCATCTCAACCATTTATCATTTTGCATCTAGGGAGATACGATCAAAGTGATATATGCCTACGGAGAAACAGATCCGGATGGAGCGGATCCATATTATCACGGAATCGACAACAGGGGAACGAAATCCTTGTATCTACTCGACCCTCCACTAGGTGAGCCTGAAAACCCCAACAGGGATACAGATGTTAAAGTCAGTGAAATGGTGACTCATCCCAATGCTACATAGCCTTCACAACAAGGAATTCCATTTACAAGTTGAAATGAATATACAAACCCTGAATCCTAATGCAACTTTGCAAACTACCGGAAAACGAAATTCGATCTCCTGACTTCACGTATTTTCGAAGTGTTCCTAACAACCTTGGACGAGGAACGTCTCAGCACAGCGTCCCCTCCCCATTTATCTTAGGAAAAATAGGAATTGCTTACTTTCGTTGTGATAATAGCTACCGTTGGCATCGTGACTCCATCTGTCCTGTTGTTTTTGGCATTTTGGCGCAGGGGTTGAATATGATCTTTGTTGCCTATTGTTTCTTATTTTCCTTTTGTTGCCAATTTTTTTTCCGGGACTTTCATGGATAAAGTCCACAATCTAGGGGCAAGGGGGCATCCCTACCTATTATAAATGCATCATGGGTCGCCTTGATGTCTCTTTGTTCCAAAATGTCAGGAATATTTCGTGAAAGTTCTAAATTCTTTTTATTTCCTCACTGAAGGCATTTTCACATGAAAACCATTTCTACAAATGGCTGGACAGTATATTCACGTCGCCTGAGTAAAACTCAGGACAAGTAAAATTTCAAATAAAAAATAAATGAGCCGAGATGTCAATTCTTGTCGATTAATTAGCACGACACACTTACATGCAATCGTAATAGGTGAGATCCCGGACGATCCTTCGATCAAGGAATGGATTGTGAGCAGGGAAATGGTGATTCCGGAAGTAGATACGACTTATTGGTGCTCCATCCAGAAGACACCCGTAGTAGACGTCACAAACCACATCATCGGCGTGAGTTTAAGCTTAGACTACTAGGACGGTAAAAAATATTAAATTCCTCTTTCACGACGTTCATCACCACTCGTAATTCACCTTCGTCTTTGGCCAGTACAAGCCGTACGTGAAGCCAGGGAACGAGAAGCACGTGCATCACCTGCTCCTTTACGCCTGCAGCATCCCGGATGAGCTGGTGGACGTGTTCAACTCGTGGGCGGAGCATGATGGGGTCCTGTGCTACGGTCCCGATCACCCTCAGGAATGGTATCTGTGTCGAAGCATACTCATCGCATGGGCTGTGGGTGGTGAGGTACGATGATTTGCTGCCTTCTCAAGTGTTTTTTTCCATCATGTGCCAATTTTCAAGTAATGCAATTAGTTTCAGCTGCATTATGCTCATTAGGAAACATAAGATTCTTAGGTCAAGAAGGCCCTTTACGACGTAAAATCTGATACTGTTCAACCCAAACTGTATTTTAAAAATTGCAGAAGAATACAATGTGTTGTTGTAGCGTCGTAGATTTCAAATCGTATCATGCTCTCTCTTTCTCTCATTGATGCAGTCAACTGCTAATGCCACCGTCGGCTGCTGGCATGCGTCGCTGCTACAAGAGGGGCAATTAGAAATATTATTTGCTTCAGGCTGTAGGCACTGGACAATTTCATCCTGCTCGGGTAGAAATAGGCAGGCATGATACAAACTAGTTGACTAACCCATGTAAATCGGCCAACAATTCTTCCTTTGGGATAGGGAGAGACCTATCCGGAGAACGTGGGATACGTTTTGCCTGAGGGTGGAATGTTCTTCATGATGGAAATGCATTACGACAATCCTGAAATGGAGTCAGGTATCCAGGATGATTCCGGTCTCACCGTCTACTACACGGACGTCCTTCGACCCCTGGAAATGGCCACGCTGGAAGTCGGATCCGCCGTCCACCCTGCAGAGGTCTGTCAACGACTGGTTGCGTGTGTTGATCGTGATTTATTTTTCTCCTACATATCATGAAGCCTCGGAAGGTTGGTCTATTGAGAAAACTTCAGACATATCGTTGGTGAATCATATGGTTGGATTAATTTAATGTATTTATTTGAAACTCATTTTTTAACGTACACCTTGGCGAGAAAAAGTTGCTCTCAGAGTACTGGTTTTTTTGCATTGAGGTTTACAAACTCACTTGTACCACCAAAAAGACCAAAAGACTTCTCCACGATCAAATTTTTATTTTTTAATTCTTATTTTCTGACTGAACTTCTATTAGATAATGTTATTTAAAGACGCATCAATTGTATTTGTCTTTGTCATATCTGGGAATGGAAGTCTGGGAATGAAGTCTCATCAACCAAATGCTTGCACTTCTTCATGTTAACCATCACCGAAAGAACTTTTGGACATTGTTCTGTCGTTGCCTTACAAATCACAGAGGTCTGATCGACTCCATACAAATGTACAGATCATCCCATCGGGACAGAAGCAGTTCTTCCTTGCCGGCCACTGCAGCTCCCTCTGCACTTCGACCGTCTTCCCGCCCGAAGGGATCCACGTCTTCTCCGGCCTTCTCCATTCTCACTTGATCGGTGGGTTCCATCGAGCATTTGGATCCGTTCTCATTCTGGATCCGTTTTCGGAACGATTCAGAGGTCATTTCGACGAGCTACTTTCTGAGGATTCTCCTGAAGTTGACTCTTGAATGTAGGAAGGAAAATGCGAGTCCGGGTGTTCCGAAACGGCGAGGAATTGCCCTGGCTGCTAAATGACGACAATTATGACTTCAACTATCAGCAGGTCCGAGTCTTTCGGGAACACATCACCCTTTATCCTGGAGATCAACTCATAATGGGTTAGAGTTCCGAAACGGCGAGGAATTGCCCTGGCTGCAAAATGACGACAATTATGACTTCAATTACCAGCAGGTCCGAGTCTTTCGGGAACACATCACCCTTTATCCTGGAGATCAACTCATAATGGGTTAGCTCTTTGTCGCTTGGATTCCTATCATGTAATGGGGTATGTGTTTATCGAATGTATTATGTCACACCTATCACACCGGAGGGTTTTTTCATTATAAATATACATACAGAATGCGACTATGATTCATCGAATCGGGATTCTGTGACGGTGAGTGGTTATGGAACCGCGGAAGAGATGTGTCTGGGTTTCTTCCAATATTATCCTGCTCTGAATCTTGCTGCCTGCTTCAGTTATCCCAAATTCGAGGAGGTGTTCTCTCTGTTCGGCATCACCGACCTCTGGGTCGACCAGTACGGTCTTTTCCTTCTCTTGCTTTGATAGCTCCGTGTTTACGTGTTGTTTTCATAATGAATGCTAATAGGGACGGGGGCTTTGACTACATGGTGTCGGAGAACCAGACTCTGGTGGACTATCTGAATGAATTTGATTGGTCGGGCATCGACATGGAAGGCTTCCAGGACCTCATGCGTTAAGGCCCGTTCACATTGTCCTTCGGCGAAGCCTCGCCGCAGCCTCGCCGCAGCTTCGCCGAAGGTGCGGCGTAGGTTCTCGTTCACATTATCCGGCGCTCACTTACGGAGAACCAATGGTAAACGTG